GTTAATGTGAGAATTAGCATTCAAAAAAATATCCATTGTCTTTTATCAATGGCGATGACTTTAAAGGGATAGTTCACCCAAAAATGAAAATTTGATGTTTATCTGCTTACCCCCAGGGCATCCAAGATGTAGGTGACTTTGTTTCTTCAGTAGAACACAAACGAAGATTTTTAACTCAAACCGTTGCAGTCTGGCAGTCATATAATGGAAGTGATTGGGAATCACGGCTTTGAGAGTCAAAAAAACATACACAAATAAAACCAAATTAAACCCTGCGGCTCGTGACAATACATTGTTGTGTAAAGACGAAACGATCGGTCTGTGCAAGAAACTGAACTGTATTTATATTGTTTTTTTACCTCTGATTCACCGCAATGTCCGAACTGTCCTGCGATCCGCCGTAAAGCAAGAAGAAGAAGAAGACGCGTCACGCGCCGGCTGTTGAGAACGCGCTCAGGACAGTTTGGACATTGCGGTGAATCAGAAGTACAAAAACTATATAAATACTGTTCAGTTTCTTGCACAGACCGATTGTTTTGTGTCTTTACACATCAATGTATCGTCACGAGCTGCAGGGTTTCATTTGGTTTTGTTTGTTTGTTTTTTTTTACTCTCAAAGCCCTGATTCTTATTCACTTCCATTATATGACAGACAGACTGCAACAAGTTGAGTTAAAAATCGTTGTTTGTGTTCTACTGAAGAAACCAAGTCACCTACATCTTGGATGCCCTGGGGGTAAGCAGATAAACATCAACTTTTCATTTTTGGGTGAACTATCCCTTTTAAGAACCCTTATACATGCTCTCAATTCATTTTCTCTAAACATCTGACTTGTTTTCAGGCTCTCAAGTATTTTTTTAAGGACAAATCTTTAAATGTGTACAATACAACAAAATTTGCAACGTTGCTATCAATAATCTCAAATGCCCAAATATCAGCCGATTAATTGCTCTGTTATTTACTCCTGACAGTCTCTGATCTGTTACTCATCTCAGTCATGTGTAGTTAATCAGCCCTCTGCATTGTCACACATTTATTGCACCATAGTCTTGCGTCACGTCATTCCCAGTCTGTGACTGATTTTGATCTGCAGCAGTGTTGTCGTGAAAGGATTGTTTTAATAGTAGTCTGTCTGGGTGTAGGAACATTCTGGCCGAGTGTTCCGGCTCCAATTCGATGAGTTCCAGATCATCAGCAGTTCCCACGATGACACTATCCTTATCTGGGACTTCCTCAATGTGTCGACCAATGGGCAGACGGAAGGACGATCGCCGTCCCGCACGTATACCTATATATCCAGATAGCAGGTAGCACATGTTTTGACTGGATTTTATTGAAGTTCACACACATCAGAAGACAAAATCTAACTTACATGCATGTGATCTCATGACAGGGAAGCCCTGGTGGCGTGCGGAGTGTGTGCGAGTGTGTGTGGGGACTGTTCGGGTGACCCAGTCTCTGTGGAAGTGTGCCAGGATCAAAGGTCGAGGAACGCCACCACCAATCCCCTCAACTTCACCCTCCTCTCTCCATCTGTCCGTTTTATTTCTCCCCCTCTTCAGTCGTTTTGAGGGCCGCCCCACAACACAAACTGCGTCAGTTCTCTTTCTCCCTCTCTGTGGAGGAGGAGGTGGAGAAAAGATGGAGAGAGCAATGCCATTAAGCAGAGAACGTAAGGGTGGGCGTGGAGCCCCCCTCACCCCTGCCACTGCGTACAGAGTGACTGCTGCCCCGGCTCCACCCCCTGGGCCCATGAACTCTGTATCTATCTTTTGTTTGCTTTATTTTTATTGATTAAAACAGAAAAATGAAAAACTAAAGGGAGAAGGCAAGGTGTGAGTGCCTTCCTTCCCTCAGGACTGTTCTGCATGAATGAGTGAGCGATGGGATGTGTAATGTGAGCTGGTCAACCCCTCGGTTTCTGTCTTACGTTTTTGTTTTTTTATGCTTTTCCCTTTTTTTTTTTTTTTTTTTTTTTTTTTTTTTTTTTTTTTTGGATATGTATTTTTTTTTTAATAATAACCCTGATTTCTTCGGGTAAAAAATTAGAAAAAGTTAATACTTAAATTATTGAAGAAAAAACCCTAAAGGCACATTAATGGATTGTTTAATGTTTTTTTTTTTTTTTTTTTTTTTTTTTTTTTTTTTTTTTTTTTTTTTTTTTTTTTTTTTTTTTTTTTTTTTTTTTTTTTTTTTTTTTTTTTTTTTTTTTTTTTTTTTTTTTTTTTTTTTTTTTTTTTTTTTTTTTTTTTTTTTCCTTTTTTTTTTTTTTTTTTTTTTTTTTTTTTTTTTAGTTGGGAAATTGACTTCATATTTTCTTTTCTTGTGAAATTGTATGAATAATTGTAGTTTTTTGACTCTTCTCCT